CACCTCAGATGATTAGCACAAATTAAATTAATCTCATCAGCCCCAAGCAATCAATCTTAAAATTTCCCTTACTTAATAATTACATTTAATACTCTACCATAGCAATATGACATGACAGAAAGTTATTAACAATTTCCGTAGCAAAATATATGGCAGTACTTCTTCACTTTTTTCACTCCTCACATTTCACCACAAGAGTGCAGTCCCTGTGCAACCCAACTAGCAGGCCACACATCACTCCACGAGGCAAATTATCTCCACCTACCTCCCGTATAGAGCCTCATATCTGTGTGAGATTTGAGAAAAAGACACACCAGAGGAGAACCATAAATGCTTACACACAAGTTAGAAACAGATAAAGAGAATAAACACCCAGCCTTTCAACAGCGACAAAACCTAAGAGATCTTACCTTGTGTTGGAGATTGCCTTTGCTGCTTGCGGATAATGAAGAGAATGGGCTCTTGAGCATGAAGAAGAATATATTCCACTCCAATCATTTGACTGGAAAAGAAGCAACCAGAATAAACATCTTCCTCTCAAAGTAAAAGCCATGGGATGCAAAGAGCTACAAAAATCTTGCTAGGAATGGGCTAAATCCTGATTCTTTGAAAGCTGTTCTATAACACGCAGTAAAAGAGACATAGAGCTATCTACATATACAAGGCAAGTTAAAACAATCTGACAAAAACTTTTAGGCAGGACAGGTGAACAAAAGAATAAACAGTGAGAAGGATGACATATCCGTCTCTGTCATGATAGACTGTTGCTTAAATAAAGAAACAAAGGACCACAGTGCATGCATGTGATATGAAAGCCTCTCTGCAACCACATTCAAGTAAGGGGAATTTTGCCATGGAGTATTTAGCTTAATTTGTACACTGCCTGTCATATTGTCACATCTTTAAATAGCTCTCAACATGCTTGAGTTGCACTCTGTGTCACAGATGGGAAACTGCAAAGAAAGTTAACTTGCACACAAAACAATCTTACTAGACAACTATCTGTGATGTTTACTTATGACACTTAATACTTGTATTATTCATACTAAAAAGCCAGCTCTTTGGAGGAATATCCATACTAATTATGGCACACAGCCAGGGGGATATGGAATCACTAACTAGCTTGTGAACACAAAATATCCCTCAAGATAAACCTCATTCATCACAGGAAAGACACTTAACTACATTATTAATACCAGTATTCAATTTCTGTTGAACTGGAAAGAAGAAATACTGCTTCAGAGAGTATCTAAAAGTGATGTACTGGAATCTCAGTTTCATGATTGTGATTTCTTTGAAGTGGCAGTAGAGGAAGTAGAAGGTATCTAAATAGCTGGACACTCTGGCAAGGCTAAAAAACAAGAATGGAAGCAGCTTCCCAGTATGTTTCCATTCAACCATCTAAGCCTCTGAGTGGATGCAAAAACAATGTTAGAAGCAGTTTCAAATTAATGACTTACTTCAAATGGTCCAGGGTCATCCGCTGCATTTTGACAACTTCATTGTTACATGTTCGGTCATAGAACGGGTTACTTCGCTCTGAGAAATAGTCCAGCACGCTGCCATTGTTCAGTATTGGAATCCAGGAGCTATCAACCCAGGATATTCCCAAGAGATTATCTGGCAAGAGAAATATCCTTTGAGTACTAAACGGCTTGAAAACCTCCAGAAGTAAAAAGTTAATTCTTGTGGCACAGGATCAAAGTAGAACATTGCCCCAAACAACCCAATTCTACTTAAAAATGCATTTCACAGAGGTCAAATAATAAT